ATATATATATATATAAAATCGTTCATCCTATCATGGGGACTTTTATCCTTTCCTCGGGAGGCTTTTATTTTGTTTAGTTCTAACGACCGCACTCGAATGACGAGCGGAACAGCGCTAAGTTAAATGAACAAACATGCAGGAAATACATTTATAAATCATATTAATATCACTTTAATCGTCCGCAACCCTTCACCTGCTTTTATCACGTGACCTGGAGACGCGCGCGTGACCTTCGCGTACACGCGCAGCTCAAAGCAATGGCTCAAAGTGGAGCAAAAGCCGCAGATCTCAGCAGAGAACCACCCGGAGAGCAGAAACCTTCACCGTCCAGCCGACAGAATGAAGAGGACCTCGGCTATAATTTATACCCGGAGAGAGGCAGCAGGCTCAAGAAGAGCACGGTCGAAGAGAGTCTGTTCACCTTTAAACACAAGTGTCAACTCATGCTGCAGTTCGCCATGGACACTAGTAAGGGCACTACATAAACAACACATCTCCTTTTCACTGGTGTACATGACTATAACTCAATATGTTTAGCTAAAACACTGCAGCTATTAATAGCAGCAAACTGGGAGTTAGTTGAGGTATAGTTAAGCGATAATTGTACATTAAACTGAAGTGTAAGTCACTAAAACTCTGTGATGCTTTGTATATGTAGAAAGAGTATGATTATCTGATTATATCAGTCTGTAAAAATTGATGTGTTCATACAATACAGTATAATGTAGATATTATAGTCGTGTAGGAATACATAAAGATATAATCAGCGTATTACTAATGTTAAACCCATTGTAAATGACATTAATTGTACGTCTGTCAATAATAACTCATGATTGCTATTTTTTATGAAGCTTGCGTATTTATTCTTATCAAAATAACATCAATATTACAGTGAAAAATCAATATATTATATTTTCATGAACATTTGCTTGTTTGATGCTGCAGTGCTTTGTCAGTATGTGTACATCAACCTAAAATATGCCTAAACATGTCTAAAATATGAGCATAAGGACATATACAGTTGAAGTCAGAATTATTCGCCTCCCTTTGAATTTTTGTTTCTGTTTTAAATATTTCCCAAATGATGTTTAACAGAGCAAGGACATTTTTGCAGTATGTCTGATAATATTTTTTCTTCTGGAGAAAGTCTTATTTGTTTTATTTCGGCTAGAATAAAAACAGTTTTTTAATTTTTTAAACCGCATTATTATTAGCCGATTTAAGCTTTATATTTTTTCGATAGTCTACAGAACAAACCATCGCTATATAATAAGTTGACTAACTGCCCTTAATTGCCTAGTTAATCTAATTTACCCAATTAAACCTTTAAATGTCACTTTAAGCTGTATAGAAGTGTCTTGAAAAATATCTAGTCTAATATTATTTACTGTCATCATGGCAAAGAGAAAATAAATCAGTTATTAGCGATGAGTTATTAAAAATATTATGTTTAGAAATGTGTTGAATATCTTCTCCCCGTTAAACAGAAATTAGGGGGGGAAATAAACATGGGGGCTAATAATTCTGACTGTGGTATCTGACACTTCATAGATGAGAATTTCGGCACTTATTTATCTCTTAAAAATAAAAGTTTAATTCAGTTACTGATCACTATGCAATTTTGCTTGTTCATTTTATGCATCTCTTTAAATGCTTATCTGTGTGCATGCATAACTCTTACTTTTTTCCAAGTATTACATATATTCACACATTCTTCATAGGATGCACAGCAGCATGCACTGCTCTTAATAACAGTACTGCATGCACACACTTGATCATCTCTTCACATGTGCATTGCTGTAAAATACAGAGCAGCGTTTTCAGATATGATTGAATGCATGCATGCATTTTACTGTATCTGTATATCAGCTACTGTGTGTCTCTTTTAGGTCCTTATGCTAAACTTCTGCTGGGGGCCATGAAGAGCTCTGGCTGGTAAGAGCAACTCCTGTTTTATGCATTTTCCCTGCAGTCTGTGCTGTGTGTGAGACGTGTGTGTGTTTCTGATGTGTTCTCAGCACAGTTTTTAAAGACAGACACTTCTCCTGCGAGGACTGTGATGGGACGGTCAGTGGCGGGTTTGATGCTGCTACCTCTCAGGTCAGTCATTAAATATGTCTTGTGCAATATTTATTGTCACTGGTATTATTGTGAGTATTGTCATTTTAAGACCATGTTATGCCATGGTGCCTTTTTATGCCTTTATTCTTAAGGTTATTTAAGGTTTTAAAACAGTCAGGTTTTTTTTTATATCTCTAATGTTCACCAAGTCTGCATTCATTTATTTATTTATTTATTTATTTGTATTTTGTCTTTTAGACAGAACTGAAAAAACTATGGAGGTCAATTCCTGCAAAAACAATAAATAAATATGCAGGAATATATGTGTGTGTGTGTGTGTGTGTGTTTATTTTATTTTATTTTATTTTATTTTTTTGCATATTTATGCAGGAATTTATGGATTTATTTATTTATTTGCATATTTATTTATTTGTATATTTATGCAGGAATTTATGGATTTATTTGCTTATTTATTTGCATATTTATTTATTTATTTGCATATTTATGGAGGAATTTATTATTTATTTGCTTATTTATTTTCATATGTATTTATTTGTTTGCATATTTATGCATAGATTTATGGATTTATTTATTTATTTGCATATTTATTAATTTGCATATTTATGCAGGAATTTATTATTTATTTACTTATTTATTTGCATATTAATACAGGAATTTATGGATTTATTTATTTATTTGCATATATATTTGTTTGTATATTTTTGCAGGAATTTATAGATTTATTTGCATATTTATTTATTTATTTGCGTATGTATGCAGGAGTTTTTGGATTTATTTACTTATTCATTTGCTTATTTATTTATATATTTGCATATTTGTTTATTAGAATATTCATGCAGGAATTCATGGATTTGTTTACTTATTTATTTGCATATTTATTTATTTATTTATATGTTTGCATATTTATGCAGGAATTTATGGATTTATTTACTAATTAATTTGCTTATTTATGCAGAAATTTATGGATTTATTTATATATTTGCATGTTTATTTAATTATTTATTTGCATATTTATGCAGGAATTTATGGATTCATTTACTTATTTATTAGCATATTTTTTATTTGTATATTTATGCAAGAATATATATATATATTTATTTATTATTTTATTTATGCAGGAATTTATGGATTTATTTATTTATTTATTTGTGTTTTTATTGCTTTTGCAGGTTTCGTCCTTCATAAAATGTAATGTAATGCAATGTGTATTTCTATAGCACATTTATCAAATTAGCGCATTTATAAAAAAAAAACAAAGAGAAAACAAACGAACCTCGTATAACAGTCAGACTTACAAAACAAAACAAAACAAAAATCCAATGAACATTCAGTACAATTCGTCCGCAGGAGTGTTCTCCACAAACATTGAGAAAAGAAAAGCTTGTCAAGTGGTAAAGAATCTCGTATATGATCCTTTCAATCATAGAGCATCAAACATTTTCTAATTGTTTGTTATAAAAACCTCTTTAATCCAGTGTTTAAATGTCGGGGGTGAGAAGCCTTTACTTTTACACAGAATTAACCTCCAGGCTAGATGAGAACAAAATGTGATAGCATGAGACTGGGATTAAGTCTGCATTTATTTAATCTAAAGTGAAAGTGAAATATTTTAAATAGTAATGTTTTTACACTATTTTGACTATTCAAAATAGCTGATTTCTATTTCAGTATGTTTCAAAATGTCATTTATTCCAGAGATTTCAGCATCATTGCTCCAGTCACACGAGTTGCATTGAAGTCAGTATATTGATTATTCCTGTTGTTAGTCGGGCCTGAATGCATGCATATGTGTTGTTTTTCAGATTGTTTTATGCCAGAACAACATTCACCAGCAGGCTCATATGAACCGTGTGGTCACTCATGAGCTGATCCACGCCTTTGACCACTGCAGAGCTCAAGTCGACTGGTTTAGCAACTACAGACATCTGGCCTGTTCAGAGGTAAGCGTATTATAATAATAATAATAATAATAATAAACACCTAATAAACTAACTGACGTCATCCTCGCTCCTCCATTTACTCCATTGCACTGAATATGCATGAACAAAAAGCTGTTTACAGTCAACATAGCAAAATATCACAAAAGAGAGTTGCAGACAAATGTATCTTAATTAAATTAACATTAATTCATTAAAAATGTATCCCAGGTGCTATTTAAAGGAGAGATGCACATTATTAAACGTGATAGTTTTACTCGCTGATTAATTAGGCAAGTCATTGGACTGGTGGTTTGTTCTGTAGACAGTAGTAAATATATATGGGGGCTAATATTATTGAGCACAGCGGTGTTTACATTTTTTAAAAATATTTTTATTTCAGCCAAACTAAAAGAAATGAGACTTTCCCAGACAAATCTAAGAGGAAATGCTGTGTAAAAATGTCCTCGCAAGATGTTCACGTGTGTGTGTGTGTGTGTGTGTGTGTTTTTCCTTCAGATCCGGGCGGCTAATCTGAGCGGAGACTGTTCCTTCATTAACGAGTTCTCCAGGTTTAACTTCGGCCTCAGAAAACATCATCAGGTAACTCAGCCTCAGAACTCAGCTGTGTGTGTGTCTCTGACAGACTTAACTTGGAATAAAATTTGTACCCAAAAGCCCCCTTTGTCTACACCTCAGCCAGCTTTCTGCACTTTTACAGTTTCCCGAAAACCTGTTTAGTGTGTGTGAGTGTATATATTTGTAAGTTTATATGCGTGTACATTAGGGTTGGCCGATGTTGACCAATTTGGCATCGTACGATGTCTAATAATGTAAAACATTGCGATGGACGATGGCATCGTCGTAGGTGGGGGTGGTGGTTGTTAAATATCAATTAATTCATAACGAATTAATTAATTGTAGCCTACCGTTTTCACTACCTGACCCACATGGTCTTTGCTTTACCCATAACCAAACCGTAAATAAATGAAGTTACAAACAAATGTCCAGCTGTCAATCACTTTTTTCCACGGGACTCTGGCATGAATAGGCTGTGATCTGTGTCGGTATAATGGCTTTTCCCACAGCTGCTGGAGGAGACGAGAGTTTGGATGGAGAACACTGTCATTTGTATTGAGATTGATGATAACTTCCTTATTTTCTCATTATTATCAGAAAATTATAACAAGTAAAGATGCTAGGGCTCGACTGTTTTGCACCGAAATTTTATCTATGCGACCTAAAAGTATATTTGGAAGCATTTGTGCGAGTGCGCAACTGTTAGTTTTCACTGCAAAATCCTCACCGTGTGCGCGGATTTAGACGACCTTTATGCCGAATACATCTTTGCACCTAAAAACGCCAAACGCAGCACTCAGGAGCAGATTAAAACAGTTGGTATGTGAACTTGCTGAAGTAAAAAACCTGGAGTGCTTGCCCCGCCTTTGTGCTCTTCTTATTGGCTCACTGCTCTAGAACTGAGCGCGAATGATTGGTTAATATCAGCTGTCAATCACTCAAAGCATTCCGCCTGCAGATGACAGGAGCTACAACCATGAAAATGTGAAGCGCTGAAGATGAGCGGATGACCATAACACTGACAGATTTTGTTTTAGAAACTACCTACAGTTACTAATCATGGCACATCTTATTAGTGATCATGTGCTGAATGGTAATCCACCATCTACACTTTTCCAAGAGTAGAATAAAGACTTCCCGTGGCTTCAAGTCCGCTATGAGAATAACTACAGCCATTCACTGTAAAGTCTATGGGTCAGGGTTTGCAGGTAACAGCGTTTGCCGCTGAATCGACACATTTTAAGCGTGAGAGGTGCTGTAAAATCCTTCATTTACTCCTCACGATGCTGTCAGCCGTGCAAGCGGCAGCTATATGTAACATTTAACACAGCTCATGAAAAGACCGTTATTGCTATTAGGATGACATGCAAATAATAAGTTATATATCAATATAAATGTGGGGCGGGGCGATGTATCGCGATGCCAGCTTAGCATCGTGAAGTTTGCAATAGGCGATAGCAGCGTCTGTCAGCCCAACCCTAATATACATGTTAATTATTTATTTTTATTTGGCTTTATTTTTTATACAGTAAGTACACACACACGTTATGCAAATACAAACTTATATTTTGGATGCAATTTAATAGCGGTTAATCGTTTGACAGCACTGTTATATAATAATGTCTTTCTCTCTGTGCAGGAGTGTGTGCGTGGCCGAGCACTGCGCTCTATCTTGGCGGTGCGGCGGGTCAGCAGGGAGGAGGCGGAGCGAGTGGTTGACGAGGTGTTTGACAGCTGCTTTAATGACCACGCCCCCTTCGGCCGCATCCCGCACAGCAAGAAAGACGCCAAGTTTGCCCATAGAGACTTCGAGAACCGGGACCGCTATTACGCAAACCTCTGACCACACACATACCTGACCAACTCCAGCCTGATCATCCGTGATATCAAGCTGAACTATGAGCACATTCTTGCCTTTTTTAATCAGAGTCTAGCCTGAGGAAACGCTGAGGATCTGTTGGAAAGGGACTGAGCTATTTATTGGACATGTGTAACGTCAGATCTATCTTTGTATATCAGCAGATTATTATTATTTTTGCAAACATTCACCATTCACTCGAGTTTCTGTACTGATCTGAGAGAAGCGACACACATGAGACTGAAAAACAAATTAAAATAAGAAATCAACTTTGTTCTCTGAGGGTTTTCTTCTGGCTGTTACGTCAGATCTCCACATGGTGGCGCTGTAGCTGTTTTAATGAAGCAGAAAAGCCTCGTGTTGTTGTTTTTTAGCAGCAAAATTGATAACTTGCTGTTCTTATTGCAAATAGTGAAGTATAAGTTCCTTTATATGTTTGTTTAGGAGATCTGCGGCTCACAGGTAAAAGGTTGTGGGTTCAGATCCCTTTAGGTTATTGTGATGTTAAAGATTTGGGTTTGAATCTCAGCTCTCTTATTGTAAAACCTCAGGTGAATAGTGAAGTACAAGTTACTTCATATGTTTCTATAGGATAAAAGGTTGTGGGTTTGAATCCCTTCAGATTACTGTTATGTTAAAGGATTGGGTTTAAATCTCAGCTCTCTTATTGTAAAACCTCATGTTTCACAGGTAAGTGATGAGGTTTCTTTGTGTTTCTAAACAGATCTTACATGAGGTTGCATGTTTGAGTCCCTCCAGGTCTCTTTGATCAGAAGATCTTGGGTTTGAACCCCACCTAAGCTGTCTTATTGTGAAATCACAGGTGTATAGTGAAGTATAAATTGCTTCAAACGTTTCTGCAAGACGTCTGAGGCTCACGTGTTTCTTCATGTGTTTCTAAACAGATCTTACATGTAAGAGGTTGTGGGGTTGAGTCCCTTTAGATTACTGTGATGATGAAGACTTCAGTTTAAACGTCAGCACTTATTTAAGTGCCCCAAGAAAACAGTGTTGTATATGTTATTTCGTGACTTTAGGCAAGTGGATCACAGGTAAGAGGTTGCAGGTTTGAGTCCCTCCAGGTCTCTGTGATAATGAAGGCTAGGGCTCAGACTCAACCTCAGCTCTCTTATTGTAAAACCACAAGTGAAAGTGTTGTATATATTATTTCATGGCTTTAGGCAAGACATCTGTGGATCACAGGTGAGAGGTTGCAGGTTTGAGTCCCTTCCAGGTCTTTGTGTTCATGAAGGCTAGGATTCAAACTCCATCTAAGCCTTCTTGTTGTAAAACGTTTTGCTAATAGTGAAGTATAAGTTGTTTGATGATCTTCTGTAAGAGATCTGTGGCTCACAGGTAGGAGGTTGTGGGTTTAAGTACCTTTGGACTACTGTGATGATAAAGGATTGGATTCATACCTCAGCTCTCTTATTGTAAAACCACTGTTGTATAGTGAAGTATGTTACCCCATGACTTTCTGTAAGAAATGGCTCACAGGTAAGAGGTTGCAGGTTTGAGTCTGTGATCAGAAAGTCTCGGATTTAAACCCCACCTCAGCTCCCTTTTTGTAAAGCCACAGGTAAATAGTGAAGTATAAATTCCTTTATACGTTTCTGCAAGATATCTGAGGCTCACAGGTAATAGATTGCAGGTTTGAGTCCCTTCCAGATTGTTCGAGAAGGCTAGGGTTTAAACTCCACCTCAGCCTACTTGTTGTAAAACTACATGCGAATAGTTAAGTCTATTTTCTGTAAGTGGTCTGAGGCTCACAGGTAAGAGGTTGTGGGTTTGAGTCCCTCCAAGTCTCTGTTGTCACAAAGGCTTGGCTTTAAAACTCAACTCAGCGCTCTTTCTGTAGTGTAAAACCACAGGTGAATGAAGTAGCTATCTATGAGGGATCTGTGGCTCACTGGTTGTGGTTGTGGGTTTGAGTTTCTCCAGATTGCTATAAGGTTATAGTTTTGGGTTTAAACCCCATCTCAGCTCCATTATAATATTAAAACCTCAGGTCTTTATTGCAGCGTCATGTTATCAAGCATCTTGAAGCTGTCAGACTGAACCTGAAGCCGCTTCCGCTGCCTGCTGGAGCTGATTGAGAACTGTTTTTTGTTTCAAAGCTGTGGTTGTGGTAGGGGAAGGTAAATGTGCTGCTTTAAATTGCAAATGCAAAAACGCAATAAATAAATATTCAAAAGAAAATTAAAATTCAAAACAAGAAATTGTGAGTTGTGTGAAATTTAGATCACGCAGAAAGTTGGTCAGGAGTCATCGACATAGCAGAGTAGATTTGCGTTTGTGTGTGCTTTCCTCTGTTGGCCACTAGAGGGCGCGGCCGCTCTGTGATTCACACCATCGTCATAGCGTAGCGCTGAGTTCTAGCTGAGCAGATCTTTCTCCTCCTCTCATCCCTCTGTGAGGGAGATTGTTTTTCTTATTCAGTCTGTCAGTATCATCCCTCTCTCTCTGTCTCTTTCTCTCAATTCAATTCCATTTAATTCTACAATTGCTTTATTGGCATGACAAATGTTATAAATGTATTGCCAAAGCATTAATAAAGTTTACATTAAAAAGAACACGCATATATATATATATATATATATAACATAGTAAATAGTAGTAGTAAAAAATAAAAATAAAATGCAAATGAATGATAATTACGAGTAGTTGTTATCTGATTGGGCTTAATTCTGTGGATGAGCATGTCCGTGTCCTGATGCTGCCTGCTGTTGGTCATATTCGCTATGTTGGTTTGTGTTTGCAGCTTCAGGACCATCTGAATCGGGGGGCTTGAGTTTTGAGGGCTTTAAAATGATAAGAGTTGGGGTCACTCATCTCTGTGTGTTTCCAAAATGTGACGGCCTGTTTCTGAATGCGCATGAGTAGAGGATACTGGCCTAATTCTGCCCTGCATGCACTGCTGAGTGTGTTCATCTGTACCCTGAGGATGCTCCTACACAACTCTGCCTGTAGAGTCTTTCTCTCTCTCTCTTTCTCTCTCTCTCTCTCTCTCTCTCTCTCTCTCTCTCTCTCCGTCTGTTAATGAGTCTCCTGGATGCGTCTCGCTCTCTCTGCATCTCCAATCATTTGCAGCTCAGACAGGAAATGACTCTGTGCTGTGACTTCCTGCGGCGCATGATCTGTGGTGACCTGCTGATAAACACACTCAGGACTAGTTCAGCTCTCACACACACACACACACACACACACACACACACACTGATGACGGAGACAAACACTACACACAAACACACACAAACACTGGTTGAAATGCATGCTACATACATACACACACACACACACACACACACACACTGATTGACATGCACACTGTATATACCCCCCCCCCCCACACACACACACACGTACACACACACACTGATGATGATGGAAATGCAAGAAATACACACACACACACTCATTGTTGAGATGCACACTATATACACACTCCCACACTTATGCACGCCACAAACACACACACACACACACACACACACTGATGCAAACTATACACACACAACACATACACTGATTGAGATAGACACCATACACACACACACACACACTTATACCGCCACAAACACACATGCACTCTACACAGCCAGTCTCACACACACATACACACTCACACACACTGATGGAGTCACACACTACTCGGACACATACCGTTGAGATGCACACTACACATGCACACAAAACACACACTGATTGAGATGTAGCCTACACTATATACTCAAACACACACTTATGCATGCCACAAACACATACACACACTTTCACTGACATGCACACAACACGTACAGAAACAAAGGCAAACACACACACACTGATAGTGGAGACACGCATTCATATACACACACACACTCTGTTTACAGAGACCTTATATCCACACACTCTTGCAATCACTGCATACACAGGGGAGGGGTTATTAATACTTTAAATGACCCCGCTGGCTGTGCTGTGTGAAGCTACTATTAAAGTTGATGTGTTATAATCCTCCATCACTTTATTTAAATGTGTTTTAACTGAAAGAAAAGCGTAATTTAATGCATGTTTTTAATAGAAGTGATGTGAAAGTATGTGTTCATCTATATTTGTGCGTATTTAAAGATTGATGACAGGCTTAACATTGTAATATAGTAATTTTAACAGTAACTTTACCCAGCACAACTCTTGAATGTCCATGTGTGCTTTATTATATCAAATACACATCAGATCTGGGCAGAATCTGACGTCTAGACGGCGACACCTGAAACAGGCCATGGTTAACCCGTCTGCGCTTCATACGAGCCCACATTAATGATCCATGAAGAAAGCCCAGCGCTGTAAAGAAGCTGCTGCTGTAAACGTATATTGCATTAAAGACATTCAGCACAGACTTCTGGAGCTGTAAATCCTGGAGAAATGACTTCAGATCATGAGAAAAAAAAGACCAAACGCAGCTTTTCAGTGACGCTTTCTTTCTCGGCGACTGTTCCTTGATGTTGAGGAGTGTTTAGTTTCACCCTCAAAGCCTCCTGTATGTGTTTGGTCATAAACACACTGGACTTTTACTGGACTTTTACTTTAATTATAAATACTTTCATCTAAATGTTAATAATTGTACAAGTAAAAAACTCAACAATGCACGTAAACCATCTGTAAATACTATCAAGCCTAGAATTTCTGATACCCCTGACAAATTCTGACTTCAATCAGCAAGTTTTGGACTTGAACTTGAGCTCCACCTCGTTCAGTTTTGAGTATCTCCTTGGCATCATCCTGATCTTTAGCTTCCTCCACAGATTCTCAATTGGGTTTAGGTTAGGACTCTGGCTGGGCCACTGCAATACATTCATGTTTTTGTCTGCTAACCATTGATTCACCACTTTTGCTGTGTTTTAAGTGGTTGTTGTGCTGAAATATTGACTGGACCATGAATGACACAGGCTTCTCCCAAAAGATAAGATGACATCAGCGTAGGAAAAAAATATTCCTCAGCTTTTATTTACACTTAAAGAGTGGCATGTTTAAAACTGTTCATACCCTTCTCAATAATCAAAAGAGAAGCTTTCATTGCCGATTACAGCAATCAAACCCTTGCTATAGTTGCTGATTAGCTTTTTGCATGTCTCTACTGCTATTTTTGCCCATTTGTTTTTATTGATGAGCTCAAACTCTTTTAGTTTTGAGTATCTCCTTGGCGTCACCCTGATCTTTAGCTTTCTCAGATTCTCATTTGGGTTTAGGTCAGGGCTATGGCTGGGCCACTGCAAAATGTTCATGTTTTTGTCTGTTAACCATTTCTTTACTACTTTTGCTGTGTTTTAAGTCGTTGTTGTGCTGAAATATTTACTGGACCATGAATGACACAGGCTTCTTTTAAAAGATAATAAAACGATGTACAAGAGGCATCATTGTGGGAAAAAAAAAATGTTTCTCAGACTTTATTTACACTTGAACAAAAAGTGGCATGTTCTAAAATTTTCATACCCTTTCCAATAATCAGTAGAAAAGCTTTTATTGGCGATTACATCAATCAAACGCTTGGTATAATTGCTGATCATCTTATTGCATGTCTCTACTGCTACTTTTGCCCATTTATCGTTATTGATGAGCTCCAACTCTTTCAGTTTGGAGGATCTGCTTGCCATCACCCTGATCTTTAGCTTCCTTCACTGATTTTCAATTGGATTTAGGTCAGGACTCTGGCTGGGCCACGGCAAAACGTTCATGTTTTTGTCTGCTAACCATTTCTTCACTACTTTTGCTGTGTGTTTTGAGTCACTGTCATGCTGAAATGTCCACTGGACTGCAAAAAATGCTTTTCTGTCTTGTTTCTAGCCCAAATATCTAAAAATTCTTCAATCAAGATGTGTTTTCAAGTCAAGAAAAACATAGTGTCTTGTTTTAAGGAATAATATGTTGAAATTAAGTGAGTTTTCTTTCCTTAAAATAAGCAAAATAATCTGCCAATTGGGTTAGACAGGTAATCTTATGTCAAAAGTGAAAACAAGATTATTTTGTTAACTCCATTGGCAGATTATTTAGATTGTGACAGTTTGCAAATAGTATGAAAAATGTTGGCAATCATTCGCGATATGGAGCTTTAATGCGCTCAGAACCTGCCGCAACTACCTTAGCTGTGTTTATCTGAAAATAACTCCTTATAATGACCAATATAAGACTGTGTATGTATGACATTTAGTTTATATAGCATTGCAGAGATTTATATTTTAAAGATCTGATTTAATCTTTAAATTCTGGACTAGTGATATAAATAATATTCATGTTTTCAGTGACAGTCAAATATTAGTCAGTTATATGTACATTTTTTATTTTTTGTATACAAAAAATAATTAAAATTTTACATATGTAACTGACTGATATTTGACTGAATATGTCACTGAAAACACGAATATATCACTTTTTTCCACAATGGACAAACTGCACGTACATACAAGCACGCACTGAGACATTTTATTTTATAAATAAAATAATAAAATTTGGTCTATATATAAGAAGATATTTTAGTTTAATTAAATCCTTTATAATCATAACAGAAACGTGCAAAACTCGAGATATTTTTGGGGGGTTTTAGCTTGCGAAAAGCAAGTCAGTCTGCATGAATATGAAAAGACGCACATGTTTCTCTATTATCCGCTGAGAATGCATGGGGCGCGTTCTGGGGGTGCGCGCTCCCTGCTAATGACACAAGCGTATGCGTGACCGCGCTCCCATCAAACACACACGGATTAATGTGATGATTAATATGATCGACAGATTATGAGCTGTTTCCACATCTTCAAAATCTCTCCTTTCAAACTCGCCAGTAATGTGTGCAAAACACCGCTAATAAACGAACCACAGCCTTTTATACAATCACCAATTACCAATTAAAATATCTAAAATTAGGCCTATATAATATAACGCTGTACATGAAATTAAATTATGTTGTGCAGAATCCCAGGCTTTTTAATCAACAATTAGCCTAGTTATTTATCCATGCTAATAAAAACGTGGTCGTCATGTTTTATTTTCGCTTTAGCCTAATATACTTTATCAGCTATTAGACTAAATCGCTATAAATGCTAATAAAAAACGGTGGTCATTTTATATTTTATATACTTTATTAACAGTTAGATATTTATCCATGCTAACAAAAACGCCATCATGTTTACTTTAGCAACTAGCATAATTAGCATAGTTATCCATGCTAATAAAACACGATCATGTTTTATTCTCATCGTTTTACATTATGTACAATTAATTAGCCCTTTATCCATATCAAAAACACCACGTCGACATATTTGAGTGTTAAGCTATACTTTATCAATAATTAATCACCTATTTAGCCAAATGCTAACGGTCATCATGTCTTATTTTCCGCTTAAAAATATTTTTTTCAGCCATAATAAAAACACAATTATTGATCTAAATCTAATCACATTTGTTTCTTGTTTAATAGGCTATGCACTCAAATAAATAAATAACATTTTTATAGGCTGTGGTAATCAGTCTAGTGTAGCTGTATAATAAAGACTGCCTGTTTTAAATTCAGAGATCTTATGTTGCTAGGCCGGGTGTTTGTCAGGTTATCCAAAAATATCACAGAGGTTTCGTGCGTGTGAAAACCACTCTGGGAGGAATTTTGTCATGCACGAGCAGGAGAAAAAAAGACAAGAAAAGCCTGATGTTTTCTTGAGAAGGTAAAAGGCTTTGGTTGGTGATAAATAGTTCCTGTGAGGTTAAAAGTGTGTCAGCGCGCGCGTGATCTGGAGCTGTTCGGCCTGATTTCTCTCTCATTTTCATCTCTCTCTCTCTCTCTCTCTCTCTCTTTCTCTCTCTCTCTCTCTCTCTCTCTCTCTCTCTCTCTCTCCATTGACGAAAAGGGCAGGAGACTTGCACTGTAGAATATTACACGGTGCTGGATCTGTTAACTTTTTCGTAACAAAAATGAACTAAAAACGAAATGAAAATTAATTATTTAGGAAGAGAAAAACTTTTTGTTTTTCATTGTTTTACAGAGACTATCCACTTTTTCTAATCTTAACTCATTTATTTTCATTGTTGTTGTTTTTTTAGGGTTTTATTATGTGTTTTAAATATAGGCTAGTAAATTGCAGAATTACAAATGTCAATGAATTAATTGTATTATTGGTAAAGTGAAATTAGCTTTTGCTTTCCTGTAAAAAAAAGCAAACAGAAATTCAACAATGATTAAATCTAGATTCATTTTTTATTTTATCTATCAGTTTAAAAATGCATTACTGTTTTTGAGCTTTTGAATGGTGTTGGGATGTGTTTTGTAATTAACGAGGAGTTGTTTTTCACAATTTAATCGATGTAAACAGTGCTATAGTTCAATATTAAATACTTAAGTAAAGGTTTTTGTAAAATTAAAATCTTTATTTTCGAAGTCTTCTCTTCTTAGTTTATATAAGTTTATCTTTTTTTATGATAATATACATCTTTAGGGCTGATTTTTATAAACGCGTTATAAAAATGTCTAAACGATCCAATATTATACATACATAATACAATAAGTGAATTTTTAAGACGCTTAATTAAAATAATTTTTAATTATTTGTTCGGTGATTTGTGAAGTGATGCACTCTTAAAAAATGCTGTTTTGTTTTAACCCAACGTGAAGTATGATTAAGCCCATCCATTAAAAAGCTTAGCTCAGATTTGATTGGGAAAAAAATAAAATTCCCAGCATTTATATACGAGATGTGCGGTATAAATTAAATGTAGGCTATTTGAAATATCAGATGCATGCCTATTTTATTAAGAGTATTGTTTATGGACAATGAACAGTGAATCTTGCACTAATAACTCTAAATAAGCACACACTTAAATGCTGGGCTGTATTAACCAAACGTTGGGTCATATATGGACAAACTCAAATTTTGATATCTATTTACATTTTAACATTTGATCCAGCGTTGTGTTAAATCTGCCCGATCACTGATGTGTTGTTAGGCTAACATTTAAACAGTAAAAAGCCTTCTACAACAAAAGCATGCACTCCGTAAAAAGTGTAATCGAGTTAATCGAGTTAGTTGGTTTGACTTAATTTTGTTCTTTATTATTTAATTTGTAAAAAAAAATAATAATAAAATTACCTTTTTTATTAGGAAGTTCATGAGTTCCCTTTTCGCATACCTGTCTCCTTACACACACTCACGCACACACACACGCACACACACACACGCGCACACACACACACGCACACACACACACACACACACAGAGGGAGAGGGAGAATTCAGCTCAAATCCTCCCAATGAGCCCCGATTTTTCCACCAAACTCTCTGACCAATGAGCGTACGTGACAGCAAGAGCCGATCGTTCTACGCACACACACACAAACACACACACACACACACACACATAGGTACACACATACATACACACACTTGACAGAGTGATTGTAAAATGGAATAGAATTGAACATGACCGAACTGAATAATGAAATAAAGAAAAGGTGAGTAGTCGATGCATTTATTTATTTATTTATTTATTTATTTATTCATTCATTCATTTACTAAATGTGACTAGGCTATTCTATACAATTATTTATTTAATGTGGCTTAACTGCAAATAATGAAATACTAAAGTAAATTAGTAATTAATTAATTAATTTATTTATTTATTATGGCCGAACTGAGAACAATGAGATGGGCCAACTTAAATGTAAGCAGTATTTACATCTATTTATTTATTTATTTATTTATTTAATGTTTACTAAGAATAATAAAATATTTTAGAAAATGTGAGTGATTAGTTTTTATTTATTTATTTGTTTGTTTATTTATTTATTTACGTATTTATTATTATGGCTGAACTAAGAATAATTGGGCATACTAAAGAAAATTTAAGCAGTATTTTAATTAATTAAATAATTTATTTACCTATTTGTTTATTGGCTAAACTGAGAATGACGAGACACTAAAGAAAAAATGTGAGTATTCTTTACATTATTTATTGATTGATTTATACTCTCATTGTTTCGTTGATATGAGAAAAAATATACAGGATATATTCTACGAAGCTCACTGCAACATAAAAATATAAATAAATGTCTATACGTGTTAGGCTAGTTTTGGAGGCTCAACACTTTTTAACGTGTGTGCGCGTGTGCGTGTGTGTGATTTGTCAGCAGGATCATCAGAGGCGCCAGTGCATGTGCGAGTTTTGCAGTGCTGTGATTGGCAGCGGCTGCGCGCGGGTCTGATCAGATGTGCGTCCCCGCGACTCCTCCACACCTGTGCGCGTGCCTCCCGGCGGATTTACCGGCACTCTGACGGGATTTTAACGCGATTAACGGCACGATGAAGGAGAAATCAAAGACTGCGGCGAGGACGCGGCGGGAGAAGGAGAACAGCGAGTTTTACGAGCTCGCCAAAATGTTGCCTTTGCCGTCCGCCATCACGTCTCAACTGGACAAAGCGTCCATCATCAGACTGACCAGCAGCTACCTGAAGATGAGACTGGTGTTCCCGCAAGGTCAGATATATACCTTCATTAACACTCATGCACTAATTAAAGAGGGTCCCGATCAGTTTAGCTCTTGCAATAATTAATTAGGTGAGTCAAGTCAGTGTATAACAGTTCTGTAGACAATCATAAAACAGATAGCTATTGACCTTAAAATGATATAAGGGCTAAAAACTGCTTTTATTCTAGCCGAAACAAAATAGATAAGACATTTGCAATGTTGTAGGAAATACTGTGAAACATTCCCTGCTTTGTTAAACGACATTTGGGAAATATTTGAGAAAGAAAATGAATAATTCACCGGAGGGCGAATAATTTTAACTGTAGGCTATATCTTCATTAACACTCATGCACTAATTAAAGAGGATGCTGATTAGTTTAGCATGCGCGCATTCGCTCTTAATGATAATAACATTAGTAAGTAATACAGGTTAATAAAGAATAATAAGATAGGATAATAATTACTGGTAAAATGTTTCATTGCATGTAATACATTTTTAAGGTAGAGGTTGCAAACAACTGATAAAACAATTAAATCAACAAACAAATTAAATGGAGTAATGTTTAGCTTTAAATTCAGTATTTCGAAGCCTAAAAATTGTTTGCAAACACTTAACTTAAAAATGTAATACATCCAATGATTTTAATAAAAGGCCAAGTCAGTTTTAGGCTGTCTTGAGTTTAGAGATATGGGCTTACCTTATTTTTTAGGCTAAACTTGTGAGAGCTCTGTGCATATAATTTGTTTAGTTGTTTTGTTTACAAAATCTCCTCGTTATGCTTCGAAATGCTGTTTGTTTTATTGTCGTAACTGAAAACAATTTATTTATCATCTCTTATTTTTATTGCGTATAATTCTTATATTTTGCATGCATAGTGGCTGTTTCGAAGTCTCTTTCATTCACAGTTGTAAAGTACGATAATGATTGTTGTTTGTACATTTTTATAACTCTTTTTTTTTTTTTCGATAAGGCCGTCACATCAGGGTCAAAATTTAACAGGTAAACTCAAGGTGGCATATTTAGCATTTATAACATTTACCCTATTTATTAGGTTACCGAAGTGATCAGATCATGCGTCATAGAAAAAATCAGCTGCAGAATAAATATAATACATATAAAACGTGCATAATGAATAAATAACCGACCTAAAACACTGAACGTGATGTGGAAGTTGCATCTAGTTTCC